TGCTCACCAAAGAGACCCGACTGGGTAAAGGGGATCCACCCAGCCCATTTGGCGAACCAAATAGACCAGGCTGGATCACTTGGGGTCCAGACCGGGCGGAGGGTTCGCCCGTCTGACTACCTAGGCTTGTTCCCGTACGCCTGTTAGAGGTGTCACGGAAGCTGTCTAGGAAGGTCGACGTTGAGGCCGACGCAGACGCTTGACTTCTCTTTTCCTAGAGGAACGTCCGGGCATCAGAGAAAATCTTCTTGGAACCATCCGGCTGTAACTGCCGGATGGGTTTTCTGAGTTCCGCTTGAGGGAAGCGAATCCTATTTTGATCGAAATTGAGGCCCTCTCCCTCCTTTGGCTTTGGGTGAGGGGTAGGGACCCGGTCTTTCATCGTCTTCTTCCCAGGGGAAGGCTTCTTGGCCGGCTGACTCTTTTTGGGAGTAGCTGACCGAATAAGGTTCTTGATCTCGCCCTTGAAACTATTCATGAAGGTCATGAGTTCGTTCCTGGTGACGGGAGCAGATCCTTCTGCCGCCTGGGCAGCTCCGACCGGGTTGCCGGCTGGATTTCCTGGAGCAGCCTGGTTGTTATCCAGTTCCTTCTTATCCCTGGAACGGGTGTGTCTTGTTCTGAAGGACCCGTCTGGGGCCACATAGGTGTTGACTTCATAGTCGTCACTACTTTCATGGTCCGTCTGAACCTCAGGCTCGGCCAACGGTACATGGTTAGAAGTCATCTCAGAAGTACTCTCCCCATAGACGACGCCAAATGTTTCGGGATTTTTTGATGTGTCCTACGGGAGAGTTACAATTCCGAGAATGCCCTTCACCGCTTGTACCTGCAAAACCACGGAGTGTCCGATTGGTTGGAGATCCGCCTCCGACGATCAAGTCAGTAACGTACATGAGGAAAAGTGTGCGTAAGTAGGGAAATTACTTCTCACGTAATGGGAGAATTCTGCAATTAATATTGCTCAAGATTGATGTGTGTATTTTTTAATGTATTCAATGCCCCATTAATGAGGATCTCTCCACTATTTATAGTGGGGAGCCTTGGTTCCCCATTTAGGGGTCTCTGGACACGTGTCAGTAGGGGATTGGAGCCCTGCTGACCAATGGCTGGGTGCCACATGTCACTTGACCATTGGGTCACGTGTCTGAGGTATTTTTACCCCAAACAAAATTAGTCCAATTTTCCCTAATTATCCACATCGCATAAAAACCCTAACTTCGAAATTCGTCTTCTACTTCAACATATATAAATAACTTACTCGTAGGGGGGAAGATTTCCGGAAAACTTGTTTGATTTCATCGGAGTACTCAGATCGCGCTTTGAATCGCCACCACCTTTTATTCGCCGTTCGCTCTTTGTATCTTCTCTCTTCTTTTAACTGGAACTCTTTTGTTTTCTCTCTCTTCTTTTAAAATCTAAATTGCCTTTTGATTTTTTAATATTTTTTTAACAATTTGCTCAGCAAACTATTTCAGAAAAAGGGATCCACCACTACACCTTTTGTTTTCAACAAATATAAAATTACTATTTTACCCTTTCTTAGAGGCATCTGGGATAAAAGTTCCTAGAGCTTGAGAAATGCTCATGCATGCCACCCAAAATGAATTAGAGGAAGTTATAACTTTATGTCAATTTCAAATACGGTCAACTTGAGAAGAGGAATCCTTTCAGTCTATCTTTTTTTATCGTCCTTTAGTTAAATGGTGAGATGGGCAAAAGTTATTACTACTACAACACCAATCAATAATAATATTGATACTAAAAATAAAAATACAAATAAAATAAAAATAAATAAATTAATAAAAGCAGATGAATGAAGGAGTTGATGAGGTCAGTGAGTTGGGCCATAGGACAAAACATTACACTAAAATAATAATAGCAATACATAATTATATCCAAACACATGGTGTACCAGATAGAAAGAGAAACACTGGGGTGGCCTAACGATAGAAATTGTTAAAAAGAGAATTTTTTTTTTTTTTTATAAAAGAATTTAAAAAGCTGCACCAGAGAAGCACATGGTTGAAATGTAAAGGTAGCCCATAAATAAAATAAAAAGTGACTCACTTTTCTCTTTCTTTTTTGGTCTCTTTTCTTACTTTTCTTCAATTTTAATCTTTACCAAATTATTATAGAATAGTTGTAGTATACTTCGTTATAGTGCAACACGTATGAATTTTATTAATTCTTAATTTCTTAGACACAAATATATATAAGTATATTATTTTTAATTATATATGTATTATCTATAAGTAAAAATGACTTGGTTAAAAGATGATAAGAAGGATATGAAATATATGTATTTATATGAAAATGAGGTATTTGATCGTAATGGATGAATGAGGAAAATTTTGGTGGATAACTCTACGGAATAATTACTTTTAATTTATGTAGGCAACCTCACTTATGAGTTTAAGGCTTTGATTGATTGATATAAATAAAAATAATATAAGGTTGTTATATTGAGTTGAGTCAGGAGTGTACAAGATCATATAGAACATAGTTTGCTTTTATAAAAACCATATTAATAATTAAAAAAAATTGCTGCATGATTTGTGTAATGGAGAAAATATACATCAAATTGAGTTTCCTAAAATATTAGCTTTCATAGAGGTACTCCACATACAATTTTATAATAGATATAATTTACAATAAACTATATGTTGTCCGATCCTTGTATCATATTGATTTTACTCTATGATCAATTTTGTTTTATGAAATGATTTCAAATAGAAAGAACAATATGATAAAATGGAGGGAATATAGATATATGTACTTCCCTTAAATAAAAGATAGATATGTGTACTTTATATTAATTACTTAACATCTTAAATCTCGCTCTTACGTATTATATGCATACGTTCATCATCACAATAAGTAATTGTAGTATTTGTCCATGCTACATATATAACTTAAGATGACAAAACATAATATGCGAAATATTTTGCGGTAAAATTGTAAACATATTAAGTGCAATAAATCCAACAAATTTTATTTATTTATTTTTATTTTTATGTTGTCATTTCTCTTTATATCTCTTAGGTTCTGTTCACTTCACCTTAAAAAAAAATATTAAGTAAAAATAATTTCAGTTCAATTAAAATAAGTTCAGTTCAGTAAAAATAATTCCAGCTCAGCAAAAATAGGTTCAGTTCAATAAAATTCAGTATCTTTAAAGAAGAAATATAATAGAAAATCAGTAAAAATAATTTCAGTTCGGCAAAAATAATTTCAGTTCAGTAAAATTAATCTCAGATCAGTGAAAATAATTTAAGTTCAGCAAATATAATTTCAGTTCAGTAAAAATAATATAAGTTCAACAAAAATAATTTCAGTTCAGTAAAAATAATTTCATTTCAGCAAAAATAAAGTGAAGTGAACGGGGCCTTATCATACATACATCTATATTTTTTTTCTTTTCATTATACACTCACACATAAATTTTATCTAGATATCCTAACAGCTTCTAAAGTTACAAATATTATGAAATAAAGATACTCGGTAATAAATTAATTAATATTTTGAAAATGATAATAATCCGGAGTAAAAAAGAACAGGAATCACACGTAGTTTTCCTAAAGACAATTGAATAAAAAATGAAACAAACTCAAACCTACGTCTTCAGCATCACTGGTCTCTGCATAAATAGAAAGATAGACAGTGATCATATTCATTCATATATATCATCTATCTCATGAATAAATCTATCTCTGAACTTCACTGATTCCCAAGAAGAGAGAGAAAAATGGAAAAGAGTATAAATGTACTCGTATGAATTTAGGGGAGAGTTTGTTTGTGTCTGAGAGGCTTTGTATGGTACTGAGAGCGACGACTGAATCTGTCATTAAGCGTTACAACTGTTGGCACTGAAAAACATGGTGTCTGAATCTCTATCAGCATTTATATGATAAACGGACCATCTTTATTTTTATTTTTTAATATTTAAAGAAATATGCCCAGTGATTAAAGTGCTTGTCTCTCTTTCTCAACATTCAAATCATTTCTCCGTATGTTTTTTTTATTTTTTTTTATTTTTTATTTGTATCTTTTCTTTTCGTATTAAATGATGTAAAGTACTCACAATTTGATCAACAAAATGAAAATTATACAGATCTTATTAAGCAGTGTTTCATGGTGTTAGATAACAATTTAAAGTGATATTACATATTATTCGTATAGTTAAATTTTGATTTTTAAGTATTAAATTATTAGTTTTTTCCACTCAACTTATCTAACAATGTCAGAAAGTTTGTTAACTTTTGTCTTTAATAAATTAAAATCTAAAATTAGTTATGCTTTTGTTTTCTTTTTTTAAAAAAGTTCTTAATCAAACTTATCAAATGAAACAAACCAAAAAAAAAAAAAGGAACATCAAATGTATTTTCAAGCTTGGCCATTCTTAAAACAAGGTGTCCACTATAATATAGCAATTAGGAAAAAAAAAAATTGTGAGTACAGAATACATGATTGTAACGTTATTCAAACTAAGTTGCTCGGTCCAATTTAACAAGTTAGTCCTTTATAAATAGGGGACAACATATATCTCAACCTCAATTTAGTGAGATTTTATGCAAAATCTTAGGATCTTATGAAATATAGATCCCTACTAATTAATACATCAAGTAGTACATATATAAACCATGAGAATTGTACAATCTGTACAAAAATGAGATTTTAAAGTCAAATTAGAGAAATAAAAATACTAATTAATGTTTTGAGGAGGGGTCAGGTCATCACCTCAACTCCTTATCTGAGCCTCTGACCAACTTCACCCAACAAAGATTTCTGAATAGTCCAAATAAGATTCTGACTCTCTCTTAATTCTTTTACCCTAGTGTTTTAATAAAATTTATATTTTCTCTTAATACCTAAATAATCGCAACAATTTTAACGGCTTAAACGATTAATAAATGATTAGTTTAAATGGAAAAATTAAAAAAAAAAAAAAAAACCACAAACTTATGTTAAAATAAAAAGTATTGCAATTATTTAAAAAAGACGACCTAACAAGATAAGTGTTTTAATTATTTATATTAATAGATGGAACATTAAATAAAATACAACGTACATTAAAGTAAACATATGAGATCTTCCTTTTTCAAGCTATTATTCTATGAGATTTTCTTAACACTAGAATGGAAATAATATTATTAATTATTCAAAGCCTTAATTCCTAATCTATATATTACAAACAAAATACCATACATTAAAGAACAAAAACATATCCTTAATGAAGGCCCTTTTTCTACCTACATTATTTATATGATTTTACCAAATTTAATCAACAAATTAACAAACCTCCCTCCACACCAAAAAAAAAAAAGAAAAAACAAAAATAACTAACATACACATGAACTCTAAGTACTATCATAGGATTCCCTCCATTTATATATTATGGTTAAAACCTCCAAAATGATATATTTAACGACACAATTAAGGGCAGGCAATAGTACAAGATAATGTGTAAAGAGCTAACGTCAAAAATTTTATTACATATTATTATCATCTTCAACCTGGCTTTCAGCAAGAGAGCTGTTCTGGTCTTCTAGATGAAGAGCATATGTTGTTGCCGTCGTCGTTGTTGTCACTGTCGTAGGCGAAGCGTTGAACTGTTGTTTACAAGCATGACAAGTAATCTGCATGAGAGTGGCACTGATTTGTTTCATAGCATGGTCTTTGAGTGTTTGAGCTTTGTCTAACTCAGCTTGCGCTTGCTGTCTTATACGCTTGGCGTTAGCAAACTCTTTCTCTGCTAGCTCAATCTGTCGTTTCGCCTCTCTTCTAGCGTCTTCTGCGTATGCTTTTTCCGCCATTGCGAGTTTAAGTTGCTCGCTCGCTTGCTCCTTGAGCGTTGTTGTTTGATGATGTGAAGGACTCGATGCTGAAGCAGCCTTCTTGTTTGATTTTGAGTTTGTTTCTGGAGTAGCGTTCTTTTCACCCATATCCGAGGTGGAACCAATGGATAGCTGAAGCTGAGTCGATTGGTTCTCGTGATCTGTAGCCTTAGGAGACACAGAGAGCTGGAGCTCAAGATTGTGAAGGTTCTCAGATAATGAAGGCTTTGTCATTGTCGTCGTCGCTGTTGTCATTGTTAGGCCAGTGTTATGCCATGGACCAGCCACATTAACATTGTTGTTAGTAGTATCATTCGACGGGCTAGAACTCGAAGCAGCTCGCGACAAACACACCGTCGGCTGCTGCTGCTGATGTTGCTGTTGTTGATGATGTTGCTGTAGTTGATTCGAATTATTGTTTCCGGGTTGATGATGATCTGTAGAGCGGAGACGTCCCATGTGACAAGCGTCTTGGTGTTCGATGAAGCTTTCAACTCTATAGTATTACAAAAGATGAAGACAAATGGAAGAAAAACAAAAAGAAAATGGGATTAGTCAAATATTCATGATGAGTAAGTTAAAATGAATAGTTTGTAGATGCTATACAAAAGGTAGAACAAAGTGGGTTTTTTTCAAAAGCAAGCTTCATTGCGTCGTTTGTCCTTATACAAAGAGATGAGTAGTAGTCTAGTAAAGACAAATAGAGGAAGACGAAATTTTGAGTCTTGTTGATTGACTTACATACGACATGTAGGGATTTCACAAAATTATTTTATTCTTTTTCTTATTGAACTTATGGAATAATCATCTCCAAAATCTTATAGTAATAAACTAAACACCATAAAATATTAGTAACAAAAAAACATATTAAGCTTGTTTATAAGATCAAATTTTCAGAGTTACGACGTGAGTTAGATCATAGATTTTGAACAACAAATTTTGAGATTAGAAATGGAAATTTATAGAAAATGATTATGCACAAAGCCAATGAAAACTTTTTCTACGAAGATGTGTACTTTTATTCTTAATTAAAATGGTAGCCATGGTCGTAATTAAGGAATAGGCTCCATTACATAATAACAAATTATTCAATAAAACGTCAAAATTATATAAATTTTATACTACTATGACCATTTATAGCGTATTTAATTAACAGTTTCAAAAGAATTCTTTAATATCAAGTCAAAACTCCCACGCCAAAAAATGTATTTTTTTTTTTTTAATACAGTCTTCAAATAATTCTGATTCTTAACCTTATAAATACTAAATCCGTTAATTTTTATTAGTTGCAACAAAGAAGTTTTTTATATTTTATAAATAATATTCTTTATTGCAACAAAAAATTAATAGTAGTATTATGATACCGTAGACGAAGAAGAGTGTGTAGTAGATCCTATAAGTACCTGGAGAAGACGCGGCCGCAATCACAGGAGTGGCCGCGAGTGCCACAAGTCTTGAGATGAGCTTTATAATCAGATTGAACAGCGTAAGCTTTAGAGCACTTATCACAGACCCATTGCTTATGATTACTGTGTTTACGGCGGAAGTGTTTCTTGATGCCAACCAAGTCGCCGAGTGCATGGCAAGGATCATGGTGAAGGCAAGTAGGTTCGGGGCACACGAATACTCGTTTTTTAACAACCGGATTCTCTCGCTTCAGTAGCTTCCATGGTACTTTATGCCGTCTTCTATGCATCTGTAAGTTTTGGTCCCTTTGAAACCCTTGATTGCAGATCTCGCAGACGTATCGGTCCGACTCTAGCAGTGTCTTCGGCGATAGCGACACCACCTCCGCATCTGGATCTGATTAATCAGACAGTAAAACATTCTCATTAATTAATCAGGATATTGTTATGTGATGATAAAAGGTATTATTATTATGGTAACAATTGAGATAAATCACCTGGAGTACCAGCAGGGCGGCGTTTGCGCTTGCTACTATTCCCGTTGTCAGCTGGACTATTACCACCCATATTGACATGCTCCGACGACGGAGCTGAGGACGAAGAAGAACCGCCTAACATGGTTTTGTTTATGTTTCTTTGATTCTGTTGTATGTTTGATCGTCTAAGAGTGTGATGGTGTAATAATATGATATGATATGATGTTGAAAAAGAAGAATTGAGAAGAAATGGTATAATTAAACTGAAAACGCTAATGATGAGTGTAGTGTGTGTTTCACTTGGGTTGAGATTTGGAGAGAAAGGAAAGTGAACATGGAAGAGGGGGAAAAGGCAACATCTTTCGGTTTTCAGCTTTCTTTAACTTTATCTTTAAAATAAGCTTTCAGCTTTTCAAATCAGCTTTTTTGCATTGCTCCTCATCTTCATTCATTAAAGACTTTATTTATTATAAATTATTAATTTTTATTTTTTGATAAATAAAACCGCTTAAAAAGTGAAGAGGAGAGGAGAGAGAAAGAGAGAGAGATTGATTTGGGGAAGCAGAGAGATCCAACCACGTTGGTGGAAAATGAACCCACAACTTTGCAACTGGACAGAAAAGAAAAACATCCCCGCAAAGAAACAAAAACCTCATCATACCTTGCGCCACTGTAAAATATATGCATGCACAAAAATAATGCAAGTATTACCTAAATCTCCGAGAATTTTGTATCTTCTTTACAAAAAGTTACATTTTCATTTGTACTTGGTAGTATTATATTAATATAATCAAATCTTTTAATTAGAGCATATGGGATCAATTTTTTAATTTTTTATTTGTTTTTAATATATGCGAAAATTTTAATACTTTTGGTTTCTAAGTATTACACTTTAACTAGAACATAGTTTTAGGTCGATTATTAATCAATCAATAACTATATATTATTGCCCTATTCATTTCACCTTAAAAAAATACTCTATTCGTCCCCTAATACCAAACCTTATTTCCTTTTTGGGTAAACCAAAATACAATGCCTCTTTCTATTTAAAGGTTGTATTTTTTGACATTATTACCCTCTTTTTGATGAGCTGTCATCTTTTTTCCTTTATTTACATTTTTGTACTTTTAATATCAATTTCCAACACTTTCGCTCTCTAACTCTTCAATTATTCTCAACTACTTTTTTTTTCTCTCTATCTCTCTCTAACCGCACATGCACTTATGTACTTTTAATCATTAGTTTTAAAGAATTTACAACTTTCTTAATTCCCGCGTAAAAACCAAAAGAGGCTTTGTATTAGGGGACGGAGGGAGTAATGATTAGTAAAAATATTTCAGTTCGGTAAAAATAATTTTAGTTTAGCAAAAATAATTTCAGTTCAGTAAAATTAAGTTCAGCTCAAAAAGAATAATTTCAGTTTAGTAAAAATCAGTAACTTTAAAGAAGAAACATAACATAGAATCGGTAAAAATAATTTCAGTTCAGAAAAAATAATTTCACTTCAGTAAAATTAGTTTCAATTCAGTAAAATTAATTTCAATTCAACAAAAATAATTTCAGTTTAGTAAAAAAAATTTCAATTCAGCAAAAATAAGGTGAAATGAACAGGGCCTAAAAGACACACCAAAAGTGACATGTGTCGTTTTTTGGTGTGTCTCTTAGTTTTTTCTTAAAAATATCTATTTAGGAAACAAATCTTATACGAAGTATATAAATAAAAGATTATAAAAGATTTAATGTATCCTTCCACAGTATATATTGATACCATAAACTTAAGTAAAATAAAATAAAAAAAAAATTAAATTCTTAATATAAATTGTGACATATATAGTGTTACGTACTATTTTACCATTATTAAAAAAGGATTTTTTTTGTAAAGTTTTATTTTATTTAATTATGTATAAAAAACTTGCCAAGAAAGATATGAAAAATTATTTTAAGTTGGTTGATTATTGAGGAAAAAAATAATACATAAGAGAGAATGAATAATAGTGTGCAAAAAAAAAATAAAGAAAAAAAAACAATTTACGGGTTAAATACATATTATTAAGGGTTCGTTTGGCATTGTTGTGGTTTTCTGTTTTTTGGTTTTTGATTTTCAAAATAATATGATATATGTCGTATAATAAATAAAAATTTAGTCAAATTTATTACAATCCTGATAATTTAGAAAACTGACAACAAAAAAGTGAAAACACTTTTTTCTTGTTTCCTGTTTTTGGTTTTCAAAAAAATTAGAAAACTAAAAACAAAAAACAATGCCAAACAATCCCTAAGATATTCATTTGGTTACAAGAAGAAAATGATATAAATTTGTTGGTGAAATATATACTACGTATAAATATACATGCATGCGCATTTCAAAATATTTTTTTCGCTAATAATAAATTTATTTTTACGAATGAATAACTTAGCCAGTTTTTTTTTAATCAAATATAATGCTAAATAAAGAATAGTTATTGAAAGTTACCGTGCATGGCACATTAATATATACTAAAAGACACATCAATAATGACACATGCACTAGTACATAATTGACTTTATGTAACATGTTATCGGTAACACTTCTTGAAATGCAATATATTAGATTAATAAGTAACACTTTGGTAACACTTTATTAGAATGTAACACTCAATGTAACACTTGTAACATAAGTAACAATCCATAGTAACACTTTTGAAAAAAGTAACATTTTATGGTAACACTAAGAGGTGTTACATTTTTGACAAAATTAAAGAGGTTGGAAAAATAAACCCATTCATCTAATGAAAAAATTTCCAACACTAACTTGTAAATAATTGAAAAATTACATCTTCCAATATGAAGATTAATTAAATTTCAATCACAAGTTTTGAACTTTTAGGAATTTAATCAACTCAAATATGATTAAATCCAAAAATTAGTTCACCTGGAATTTGGAAATCAAAGTTCCAACCAAATAACCAATTAAAGATTGGATCTTTAACATATTAGGGACTTTAAAATTGCACATTCACCATAAACATTCACACCTGAAGCAATTAATTTGCAAAATTGTGAAATTTTAAGTTTATGTGAAAAATGAGCTTTCCAATCAATTCAAGCACCAATTATGACTTCATGTACATGCTTAATAAGGTTTATTATTACAGTAGATTAGTGATGCAACCATACATTTAATCTACCTTTAACATGTCATAATTAATCAAGGTTTAAAGATTTAAAAATTTTCGTTAAAAACGAAAAACCCCTCGAAAAACATGTTTCTGGGTGGATTTTGGCTTCTGGACAGCCCTTAAAGAGAGTCAAAAACAATTTGGAACATCGATTCCAATATTTTTGGGTCGAAATCTGGGTTCATGAACCAAAATTAGTAAAATACAAGATTAAAACTAATAAAAACGAGTTTCTAATCTAATTAGGAAACAAAACCAGAATTTAAATCCATTTTAAATCACCTCAATTAATTATTAGTTACAATAATTTAAACGAGTGCGGCTCCGATACCATTGTTGGGTTTTGTAGCGTCCAACACTACGCGGAAGAGAAACTTGCCCAAGACCCGCCCACTAATTAAAGCAACTAAGAGTGTAATCACATAATTAAACAACAAAAGAAAGAGAAAGGGAAATGACATTCTTACCCTCGACGCATGCTTCGCTCCTATAGAGCTCGGACTTCAAAGCCTTAGCTCCGCAAGCACGAGAGCCTCCGACGGAGTCCACCCTCGAGACCCGACCCGAACGGCCTCTACCCCGAAGGTTAGTCGGGGCTAGACCAAGAAAAGACTAGAGTATTACGAACTTAAATGTTTTCTCACCTATAGGGAGATGCCTTATTGAGTTCAACTCAAGTGATTTTTAATTTCCCAAACCCAAAACTTGGGTATTTATAGGGAAAGGAGACTAGATCTCTCTTCTCCCATCAATGTGGGAGAATTGCATTTTTCAAATGGAACCGGGCTGTAGATAGCCGTTAAGTTTGTGGCCGGGCGGTGTATGAGCCGGCCAAATCTTTGACACTTGTCACACTTTTTCACCATTTCCATGGCGTCTGCCTCAAAAGTAGGCCAAAAGTAGCCTTGCCGTCTGGCCCTCTTTGCTAGAGTTTTGTCGCCTATATATGATGCACAAAAGCCCGAGTGCAGATCCTCTAGAACCTCTTTGCCCCTTTCACGGGTAACACACTTCAGCAACGGCTGGAGGTAACCCTTTTTGAAGAGCTCCCCCTTGTAGATCTCAAAGCTCAAAGCTCGCTTTTTCAATGCTGCCGCTTCTGAAAGGGCATCCGGCAAGGTGTCGTCTACCAAATAATCCCAGATAGGATCCATCCAGGTAGTGCTTCGGTCCAGAATTCCAATGGGATCATGTTCAATGCTTCTTTTTTCCATGACTTCCCAAAAGACTGACCTAGGCGCATCACAAGTGGCGGATGATGCCAGTTTTGACAGCGCATCCGCCTGATTATTTTCTGACCTGGGCACCTAACTTAAATGAAATTCGACAAGTGTCTCGACCTCATTTCTGACCGCCTGCAGATACTTGATCATTGCCGGATGGGTGGCCTCATAGTCACCATGGTATTGACTAACGATCAACTGAGAATTTGAGCAAGCGTCAACTTTCCTTGCCCCTGCCGGCTTACACATACGTATACCGACAAGCAGGGCCTCATACTTCGCCTCATTATTTGAGGCTTGAAACTTGAATCGTAGTGCGTATTCATATGTATCTCCCTCCGGAGACTTGCAAATCACGCTTGCACCACAGCCGTTCATAGTAGAGCTCCCGTCTACATACACCTTCCAAACCCGATCAATGTTTTCCAGCTGATCCACCCTTGTCATTTCAACAATGAAGTCAGCAAACGCCTGACCTTTCTTGGTTCGAAGGTTATTTCTAGGCTCTGCATCTCAATAGCCCATTTTAGCATCCTACCGGATGACTCCAAGGTTGTCATTGGCCGCTTGAGGGGTTGGTCTGTGTAGACCACCACCAGATGTGCCAGGAAGTATGGTTTTAGCTTCTTTATGGCCATGAAAAGGGAAAGGCCAAAATTTTCAACCAAAGGGTACCGTAGTTCGGCATTTCTAAGCACATGGCTAATGAAGTACACTTGGAGCTGATTGTTGTCTCTTTCAGCTAGGAGAACGGCACTGAGGGCGTGATCTAAGACGGCTAAGTACATGTAGAGAACCTCCCCAGTTAAAGGACTGACCAGCCGGGGTAATGAGTGAAGGTGCTCTTTTAGCTTTTGGAATGCCGCCTCAGCATTCTTCCCCCCATTCAAATCTTGTTTCTTCTTGATTGCTTGGAAGAAGTAAAGGCATTTGTCGCCTGACCGGCTAAGGAATCTTCCCAATGCCGCCAGACAACCGGTTAATTTTTGGACTTCCTTGACAGTGCGGGGTGACTTCATGTCACTTACCGCCTGTACCTTTTTCGGGTTAGCCTCTATCCCCCTTTGATCAATCAAAAATCCGAGAAACTTCCCAGACTCAACACCAAAGACACACATTTTGGGATTAAGCATGACCTTATGCCGCCTGAGGGTGGTGAAGGTTTCTCGTAGGTCAGCAAGGTGATTCGTCTGCAGCTTGGATTTGACTATCATGTCATCGATGTACGCCTCAACATTCCTCCCAATTTGATTAATGAAGACTGTATTAATCATTACACTGGAAAGTAGCAGGCGCATTCTTTAACCCAAACGACATCACCGTATAATAGAATAGCCCTTGATCAATGACAAATGTCATCTTTTCTTGATCTTTTTTCCACAAGGGTATCTGATGGAAGCCCAAGTAGGCGTCCATGAAACTCATCAAGGCATGTCCGGCTGTAGAGTCGACCAGACTGTCGATCTTTGGAAGTGGATAACTATCCTTTGGACATGCCTTGTTCAGAACTGTGTAATCAACACACATCCACTAGGTACCATTCGGCTTCTTTACCAGAACAACGTTGGCTACCCAATCCAGGTAGTAGCATTGCCGAATGAACTCGGCATCCATCAACTTCTTGACCTCGGCGGCAGCCGCCTGAGACCTTTCCTCACCGTGATTTCTTTTCTTTTGCCCAATTGGCTTCTTCTTAAGATCCACAGCGAGTTTGTGGACAGCAAGATCCGGGCTTACGCCTGGCACCTCTTTCACTTCAAAGGCAAAAATGTCTTTGAATTCTTTCAACAGTTGGTGGAAGTCTGCACCCAACTTTGCAAAGGCAACCATCCCCACCTTCACAGTTTGTTCTAGCCGGCTGTCGTCAAGAACGATATCAATGTTATCACCAGCCGGCTGGGGACGGAGATCATCAGACCGCTCCCCGATCAGTGATTGCTATTGCTTTTCTTTTTTAACGGCCACTAAGTGGTCCGCCTTTCTCTTTTTACCGGCTGCCTTGGGAGTAGGCGCGGCTTCTTGACAGTCATCAAGGTCAATAGACTTCCCACTTTGGCCGGCTGCAGCCACAGTAGGTTTAACGTCTAAGAGATAGCACTCTCTCGCCGCCTTCTGATCCCCGCTCAGGGAACCTACTAACCCATCATCCCTCTCGAATTTCAGCAACATGAGAGACGGAATGATGACTGCCTTGGACTCGTTGAGGGTAGGATGGCCCAAGATCAGGTTATAAGCGGTCAATTCTTCTACCACCAAATATTTGACGACTATGTGTCGCCCTTCCCTCTTCTCACCTAGTCGGATGGGTAGGTCAATCCTCCCCACCGAATGCACCACTCCTTCCCCAAAACCAATCAAGGGGTGAGAGGCCTTGTGCATGCTGGTAGGCTTGTACTTGAGCTTTGCCAAGCACCGGTCAGACGAGCTCCCGGTATCGATGAGGATCTGGCCTACTCACTGGTTGGCGACTTTGCACTCGATGACTATGGGGTAATCATGAGGCCGCCTGACCTTGCCCCGGTCCTTCTCAGAGATGATGACCTTAGGGAAGGTGTCTTTTGACGCCTGGCCCTCATCCACTGAGTTGACCTCCAGTTTCCGAATGTTATCTTTTGTGCCCTGGATGAGTTGACCGCCTGCTATGGTCATGATTTGCTCCTCATCAGTGTCAGAGCTTATAACAAGGTTGTCTGGCTTCTTGGACGGTTGTCCATTGTTTGCGCGGGGGTTTCCCTTGGGTTTCATAAGGTAAGACTTTAAAGCCCCCTTATTAGCCAGATGGTCCAGTAACCGTCTGAGGCTATAGCAACCATTGGTATCATGGCCTATGTCCTCGTGAAAATGGCAAAACTTAGACTTATCCCGGCTTTTGATGGGACTCTACATTGCAGCCGGTTTCTCTATAGACAACCGGTCTTTAACTTCCATGAGGATGGAGGAGCAATCCTTGTTGAACTCGTACTTAGGGATGTACGATTTCAACTCTCTCTTCTTCTTTTGGGATGACTGACCAGAGTGAGCAGCCACCCAGACATCTTTTTTCTTCTTGCTCTCTTCTTTTTTGACCGACTGAGCTGGCCGGCTGTCCCTTTTGTCAGACTTTTAAGAGTCCGACGGCTGCTTGATGGCATAAAGCTCTGTCGCCTGTATGTAGGCTTCGGCTTCCATCAAAGCTTCCTGGAGGGTTGCTACCCTCTTTCTGACTAGGTTGAACTTGAAGGTCGACCCATCTTTCGGACCCTTAAAGAATTCTGTGTAAGCAACTTCTTCAGACAGTCCCTGGATCTGAATTCTCATCAGATTAAACCGCCTGACATAGGATCTCAGCCCTTCTCTATCTCCCTGTTGTATAGCCCCCAGGTCGAGGCTTGTCTTCTTGGCCGAGATGTTCATAGAGAAGTTAGACACAAATAGGTATGCTAGTGTCTTGAAGTTGTTGACGCAACCAGCTAGTAGGTTGCCAAACCATCGTTGGAATATGCCCTTCATTGTTGCCGAAATGCATCTGCACCAGACGGCATCATCCAACCCCTGCAAATACATGAGGTTGGTGTACGCCATAAGGTGGTCTTCTAGGTTGGTGGTACCGTCATAGGCACCAACTAACACGTTCTTAACCTTGGCCGGCTGAGCCGCCTCGGTTATCTCCCTAGAGAAAGCCGAAGGTTGTTCCCCAAGGTTCAGCAGTCGAAGCTGCCAGTCCATAGGCTGGACATTCTGCGTCGCCTGACCCCCGAAGAGGGACGGCTGCATGTAAGGAGATCCATACGGCAAGTATGGATGTTGGGGTACATACGGAGCCGACTGGATAATCTGAGGGCCAGTTCGTGCAGACATGCTGCCTGACTGACTCTCTCGGTTTGTCTCCAAATAACTCATTGAAGTATTATGGAGACTGTCTGAGTATGTCGACGTGGAGGCCGACTTAGACATTTGTTAACTTCTCTTTTGCTGGAGAAACATCCGAGCATCGGAGAGTGTCTTTTTTTACCCATCCGGCTGAACATGCCGGATGGCTTTCCTCTTCCCTACTTCGGGGAAGCGAAATTTTGAAAGATCCGCCATGGGCCAATCCGGTCCCTGTGGTTTAGGATGAGGAGTTGGAATTCGGTCATCAACTGGCTTCTTCCCAGAGGGAGAAGGCTTCTTCCAAGATGGAGAAGTTTTTTTCCCAAGGGAGATGGCTTTTTGGCCGACTAACCCTTGTGGGAGCCTGCCTTTTTGCTTATCAGGTCCTTGATTTCCCCTTTGAAACTACTCATGAATTTCATGAGTTCGTTTCCGGTAATGGGGGCAGCACCCTCAGCCGTCTAGGCTTGTTCAGCCGGCTGGCTGAGACCTTTGTCATTATCCCTTTCCCTTATTTCTTTGGGACGGGGGCGCCTGGATCTGAACGACCCATCTGGGGCCATATAGGCTTCGACCCCTTGGTCGTCACCACTATATTGGTCCATATGGACCTCAGGTTCGGCCAGAGGCCGTTTCTCGTTATTAAGTGGTACAGACTCATGGGATGTCATTCTGGAAGTACTCTCCCCACAGACGGCGCCAAATATTTCGGGGTTTTTTTAGTGTCCTGCGGGAGACTTACAACACCAGAACTAGTAGCCGACCGCCTGTACCTGAAAAAGAACGGAGACTCCGGTTGAGTAGAGTTCCGCCTCCGACGATCAAGTTAGAATACGTCTGAGTGAGTAAGAATGCGGAAAGTAAATAGTCTCTCGGATTCCGGGAGATTTTGCAATTAATATTGCTCGGTATTTGTATTTGTATTTATGATAGTGTATGAATGTGCAATAAATGAGGACTTTCCTCTATTTATAGTAGAAGGAGATCAGTTCCCCTATTAGGGTTATAGTGCCACGTGTCAGCATCCGATTGGAACCCCTTGGGCCTCTCTGGGGCTGACATGTGTCAGCATGCCATAGGACCACGTGGCATAGGGTAATTTTACCCTAAACACGTCGAATTCCAATTCGACTGGACTTACGACGCTCGGTCTCAACGCTCTAAGCTCGATATCCGACGTCTTTGTTCGTAATACTCTAATGATTCATCTAATCCTTCGAATTGATTCATTGCCTCGGATCAGTTACTCGATTGGGTGTGACCCGAAGGGTTCAATGAAGATTAAGCTGTAATATTAATTATACATTAAATTACTGATCGGAAGCGGCCTCCACCTAGGCATTCCGATCATTTGACATCACTGAAAAATTAGCTTTCTAATAATTCTGAACCCTCTATCGGAATAATACACTTGTTGGAAGGACACCATTCCTTTCAATAGTATCACCATATTCGATATTATGTATCACTTTTTGCAAACTAATGTTATCAATTAATTGGTAACGTTTATTATTATTATTATTATTATTATTATTATTATTATTATTATTATTATTATTATTATTATTATTATTATTATTATTATTATCTCACTAGTAGAAAAAGTGTAATCGGCACTAGTTCAAAGCCGAATTAGAGCACCGGTTCAAACTAGTGCCCTTAACATAAATTAAGGGCATCGATTTTCCCTTGAATTGGTGCCTTTTATGCCTAAATAAAAGTAAAATTGATAAACCATTATATATATATAAACTTAGATACTTTTATTAATAAATTCTTGTAATATTACAATTTCATACCAAAAAAAAGAAATTACAATATACAAAATAGCAACAGCTTGGAAACAGAACAGCAGCAGCTCGGAGATAGAACAACAACAGCTCGGAAACAGAACAACAGCAACAACAGCACATATGCGGAATAGCAGTAGCAGGAAATAGTAGCAGCACATATGCAAAACAATAGGAGCACATATGCGGAACATCAGCAACAAGCAACAGCAGCAACAGGCAAGAGCAGCAGAAGCACCAAGCAAGCATCAAAACCTAAGGACATATACTTGCTAAAGAAGTCAGCTATAAGGAAACAACTTAATATTACAGCTTATAAGTTGGAAGAATAGACAATATTACAACTTATAACAACCCTTTCTTGATCATTCTAAAATTTAGATTTAAATAATGCACAACAAAAGGAAAAAAAAATCTCCTCTTAAAAATACACTTGTGTTACTGTTTGTGCCTTCAATAGAAACACACTTAGATGCTACTTTCTACACAGGTTCACTAGAGGTGTATACTTCATGATTGATTCTTGAGGTATAAGTTTTCATATGCAAGATACTTATGACTTATAAACAAGTATAAAGAGAATTCAAAGCATTACATTTGCCAATGATAACTGACATGTGTGGTGTGCTAATGAATGTCAGCAGAATGAATATTGAATAGCATTAGACATATAAAACTAGGTCATTGTCATGGGCGAGTAGAACTTCATTTATAAACACACAATAGAAATGAGGGAAGAGTATGAGAACCAAGTCTTAGTCTGAAGCTCATTCGGAGATGGTAAATTTATAATTTAACAAGACTATAGTCAACAATCACGAAGAGAAGAATGCAATGTACCTTGAAACTGTTGTAGACTTAATATAATGTTGTCAATCCCTTGAGCATGTTCGATGCTGCAGTGATAGGATCGACAGAAGACGGAACAGGGACATCTCTATGAACAAATCAGTAGCTTGCTTTGCCTTAACTTCCAATGTTACTTTGAGGTCAATTGTAGAAAATCATGTACTTCACAGAAGAAAACGAAAGCCTTCATTGCAACGATAGCAGCCTATGTCGCTCTCTTTGTCTTACTTACAACTGGTTTTCTTTCATTTTTGGTCCACATGAAGAAAGAAGCAATGTATGAAACTTATTACATTCTAATTTTGATATTTCTCTCATTATTAGTTAGCCACAACACCGTGCTCAAGAAGATAATAGCTAGCTATAACTAACATACAGGAAGGGTGGAATAAAGTAATTTACTTATTCAGAGATAACAAACCTTACAAAAGGCTTCCGAAGAGAACTAGGAATAGGTGGATTTGTAGTTGTTTACTATGGTTGCTTGAAAGATTGGGTGGAAGTTGCTATCAAGATGCTCTTTCCTTCAATTAATGCTTTAGAACAATGTAGTACTGAGGTTAATTATGATCAAACTACACTACCGAAGCTATTGTTTGTCTTGAATCATATAAATATTAATGATGAATTTTTCAATTTGAGTGATGTTGAGCTCTTAATGTCCATTCGCCACAAGATTTTGTTCTCTTTAATAGACTAAGGTGAGGAAGGAGCCACAAGAAAAAGCTGTGAAAGCAGTGGGATTTACTCTTCAAACTCCTCAAACCTAAGACCATATACCCAAACTCACAAATTGTCATATCTCAAGATATACTCTACAATCTACATCCAACTCCCTTGCTTCGCATTTCATCTAATAACCAATTCAACATCAATATTTGTATACATAACTAACAAAATACGATGTCAGATTGTAACACTCTACAACTCCATTAAATTAAAACTAATAGGCTTCATTTTCCATTTACAATCAAACATTAATTTAAAAATCATATTTTTGTAATATACATAGAGAATACTACATATTAAACTAATCCAATCAACAATTAAGCACAAACAGTAAAAGAAATCAAATTAAATTTGAAATAGAAGTATTAAAGTGGTGAATCAGTAATTTGGTTGAGCAATAAACAATGAAAGCAAAAGACAAAGTGTAAGAGAGAGAGAAAGAGGGACCTAGACAAGAGCGAAAGAGGGTGTTGCGAAAGGTGGATTTAACGATCGCTGCCCACAAAAGAGGAGAGTAGCCGGAACTGTAAACTTATGCTCCCTGCCATTCTCTCTATTTTCACACTTGCGTTATCTATACGAATAGTTTGTTGAGCTTGAAACCCTAATTTCAAAAAATCAGCTATTATAACAAAATTATGGAAATTAAACATGAAATTGAAATGGGAAAGAAGAAAAACCTGAGAGTCTTTTAGTTTCATGACATAAATTAGGGTGTGGTAGGCAAAATTGAGCTTAAAATCGGAGTATCGAACACAACCACAACTATTCCAGCTTTTCTCTCATCTAGTTCGTGATCTTCTGCCATTTTTTTTATATAGTTGTGGATGTGATCTTCTGCAGCTACACTTTCATCTTTGAGAAGAGAGAGGGAGGGAGGGAGGGAGAGAGGAGAAAGAACGACAGATTGAGCAAATGAGAGGAGGAAAAAGAAGAAATCAAACGAAAAAGCTTAGGTTGGAGAAATACGAGGGATGAAGTTGCTCAATGTTGGTTCTTAAATAAATTTAGAATCGATTTTAGGTCACACATATATCGGGATTAAAATCCCGAAATAAAAGCACGCAAATCAAGGCAATGACCGCCAAAGTACACCACATGGCTAGTCGGGCTGCTCTCGCAACCTACATGTGGTTGCCGTGGTGTGCATGGACTGCCTATGTCTCGAAGTGATGCTAATGTGTGGCGGTTATGGGCTTGGTGCACGCATGTTTCTACACGCATAGTGCGGTGTGTGTATGTTTGGTGCATCGAGGATGCAAGGGTGATGCGCACGAGGTGCTACAATAATGGTGCCTTGGTGTTGCGATGTGTTGCTAGGCAACATAAGCTCGCATGATTTAGGACCATTGAGGCCATGTCTTGTGTGTGTGCAAGTGCGCTGATGTGGCCAGTGTAACGTGTATACGACATTGAGATCACTCCCACGTGCTTGGGCCACAAGCGGTTGTGCGGGTGCGGCCACACAAGGCACCTGAAGCCTTAGTGCTAAGCACTTAGGGATCGTAATGCATCGTTGGGCTATGTGTTTTCTATTTTGCCATTTTAATTATTTATTTAATTATTTAACGAGGCTATGCCTCGGTTTTGCCGGCCTTTGCGAAATATTTTGGTAAAATATGGGTTAACCGGCTTAATTAATTAGATTAATTAAGTTGGATGCAGAATTTAGTGGGAGCTTCGTTAATTACTTGAGCTAATTTATTGATTTGATCACATAATTGATAAACAACTTTGACTAGTTTTAATTAGGCGTGTTAATCGGATTAACCACCTAAGTTAGTTACTAGTTTGTGCGTGTTATGCATTGTTACTTGTTTTTTGTTGTAAAATGCATGGGCCATTCACATATAGTGAATGGATGAATGGAATGTATATTGTATCACAGGTTTTTGATAATGGCAACTAGTGGGACCCGACTAGGATAGTAAATACGGACTGCGATCCGTTATGTATTTTTGTAAATCTAAATACGGTATACGTCCGTTGCGTATTTTATACCTTAATATTTAGATTAATCCTAGTTATAGTAACTAGTAGTTGCATATTTGGTGGAGATGTCTCGACGGCGTTTTTAAGAAGACAAGCCAAGAAGTTGCATCAAAGACCCATGGAGATTTGAAGACTCAAGGGGTCTTGCTAGTTTCTAAATACATCTTTTACTTTTGTTCTATATATATATATGATTGTATTTATATATGATTGATGCATGTTTAGGATTTCAAATGTTGCGATGATTAATTAAGTTCACTTAAATCAACCAACATAGAAACCCTAGGTCCCTATAATATTGAGCCAAACTTGTCATTCCAAGAAAGACACTTACCGAACTAATGCGCGTGGTGATGGGATACGCTAAAGCGAGGCATCACCGCTTCCCTAGGAACGTAAGGTATACTAGGTATACAAGTTGTCTTGGTTAAGCTCAACGATATCAGTAAGGAGTCCTTAGATGTCGTGGCAATGGAGATAAAATGTCAAGGAAGCAATATATGCGACGTTTTATCAAACCAATAGCAACTTAGAGCTATTAGCAATTGGATTGCTTACCTCAAAATATTAAGTGTTAAGATAAGCTAAAGCATGCTTAATCACTTTTTGATTTTTGGGATCTTGGAATTGTTTTATTCTCACCTAAAAGGGACAAAATTTTAATGCGTGGATAAGACGCGTAATAATATTGAAAGTTTGCATGTATGCTTTGAATTTCAAACTTATTATGTTATGAACTTGATAAATGGTTATAGTTTGCACTTATATTTGTAGAATTCTAAATTAAATTATATTGTTTTCAATGATTGGTAAAAGAAATCTTTTGAGAATGGTTCCTAAGGAAAGAAAAGGCATTTCTAAAATACAACTTCTCATAATTGACTTTTATAACTAAAGTCCGAAAGGACAGTTGGATATCATGTATTAAAAATACTAGGTAGTTTTGATGAACATGAAATATTGAGTTGAAAACTCAAATAGTCAATAGTTGTCAACCAACATATCTTTTCGCTTCATACACAAATGAGTAGGACTCATTGATGTAGCAATTCAAGTACTAATTGAAGGAAAAGATGGAACTTTGTTTCACGGCGCAATTGAAAGGAATGGTGTCCTTCCAACAAGTGTATTATTCTGATAGAGGGTTCAGAATTATTACAGAGCTAATTCTTCAGTAAGGTCAAGTGATCGGAATGCCTAGGTGGAGGCCGCTTCCGGTCTGTAATATTAAGGTATAATTAATATTATAGCTTAATCTTAACTGAACCCTTCGGGTCAAACCCAATCGAACAACCGATCCGAGACGACGAATTAATCCGAAGGATTTAATGACTCGACGGAATTTTACGAATACAGACGTCGAATATCCAGCCTAGGGCGTCGAGACCGAGCGTCGCAAAATCACAAGCAACAAGTACAAGCATAGCCGTAGCTAGGCTAGGCTAGCTCATCGCAAGCCTAGGCGTACCATGTGTGTCCTAGGCGCGCTATGCGTGCTAGGTGCACAATGCAGCCCATCGAAGCCTTCGCATGGCATGGCTGCACCATCGCAGGCCACACGCAGCATGCAGAGCACTATCGCATGGCTAGGCCTGTGCGTGTGCATGTGCCTAGGCCATCACAAGCCATCGCAGGCCACACGCACCAAGCACAACCATCGTAGTGCTGGGCACTTGCGTATGTGCGTGTGCGTGTATGGCTCGCACCATCGCAGCAGCAGCCTCGCACAGCAGCACCATGCCAGGAATCGCCCTGTGCGTGTGCGTGTGCGTGTGCGAGTGCCAGTGCATGCTGACTAGCAAGCAGCAGCAGCGAAGGGTGCTTGGGCTTGTGCGTGTGCGTGCGACTGGGAAGTGCGAGGGGCATTGCATGTGTGTGTGCGATAGCCAGGCAGCATCGCCCAGCGTCAGCACTAGGTGTGGCTCGCTAGCAGCACGCAAGTGCTGGCCTGGGTGATGCACGCCAGCTGGGCAAGCTAGGCTAGCTGTGCTAGCTGGCCAGCGAAGCAAGCTGCCAGCACTGCCATAGCTTGAGGCGGTTTGAAGTGAGTGGGGACCAAGGGCTTGGAGCATGCCTTGGGGAGCAAGGAAATGGTCCCCCCCAAGGTTCATGGTCCTCACCTAACCTTCTCTCTCCCCTTGACACTTGTTGCATTGTGATTGCATTTAATTAATTATTTGATTTGGAATTAAATAAATTAATGTTTTTGCACATGATCCCACATTGATCATGAAATGGGATTCAAGTTCCCATTCTCTATAAATACCCACTTGGTTGGGATTTTGAGAAGAACACTTGAGTGGAAAAGTAAAGGCAACTCCATTGTTGAGTAAACCTTGAAATTCGTAAAAATCCAAGTTTATATTTGTCCGGGCCTCGACTAACCTTCGAGGCTTAGGACGCTCGGGTCGGGTTCGAGGGTACGATCCCGTTGGAGACCTCGTATTTTCGGGGTTCAAGTAAGAGCTCATTGTTGAGCGAAGCACGCGTCAAAGGTATAATCTTTTATCCTTTCTTGTGTTTAATTATGTTTTGCTTGTTAATTACATTTATTATGGGGGCGGGTCTTGGCAGGTTTCTTTCCGCGTAGTGTGGGTCACTACGAAACCCTACAGCGGTATCGGAGCCACGCTCCTTTTAATTTTTGCAATTATTGATTAATTAAGGTGTTTTAAAGTAAGATTTAATTTCTGGTTTTGATTTTCTAATTAGATTAGAAGCTCGTTTTAATTAATTTTAAAACTCGTATTTTTATCGATTTGGCTGTTGAACCCAGATTTTGGCTCAAAAATAGTGATTTTTAGGTGGAATTGACATTCTGAAACAGATTCAACCCTATGGATTGTCCAGAAGCCAAATTCGAACCAGAAACCCACGTTTTTGGGGTTTTTTTCGTTTTACAACAAAAATTTTAAATCTTTTTAAGCCTTGATTAATGCAAGCATTACAAGGTTAGATTAAATGCATTATTGCATCCCTAATCTACTGCTATTTTAAATATTCTTAAGCATAATTATGGAGTTTTAATTAGTGCTTAAGTTGATATGTTGTTTGTCACACAAAGTTGATTTTTCACAATTATGCAAATAAATTGCATTAATGTGTGAATGTTTGATGTGAATGTGTAATTTTAAGTTCCCAAGTATGTTAAAGATAAAATCTTTAAAGGTTTAAATGATTGGAACTCTAACCCTAAATTCCATATTGAACAAAGTTTGGATTTTTCATTTTGGTTGATTAAAATCCATGAAATTCAAATACTTGTGAGTAAAATTTTGATTAATCTTCATATTGGAAGATGTAATCTTGGTATTTTACAGAAGTATGAAGGTTGGAAATTTTTTATCATTGGATGATTATTTTGTTTTTCCAACCCCCTATTTGTCAAATCCATTATTAATTTGCATTTTAGTTAAATTAATTATGGATGTAGCCCTTCAATTTTGTTGCATCAAGTTAGACCTAAAATTGATTCAAATAATGGTTCTTGAATAATTTAGGCTTGTGCACTATTAAAATTGAATTTATTTAAGTTAGACTTGTTATATTTTCTCTTTGCTCTAAATTGATTCTAAAATAAATTTAGAATTAATTTAATCTCACACGAATGTTGGAATTAAAATCCCGAGTCAAAAGCGCACAAATCGAGGCATAAGACACCCAAGCACCACCAAGGCTAGTTGGGCTGCTCTCGCAGCCCACATGTGGCTGCCTTGGTGCGCATGGTGGTGCTCCCACCTCGATGTGTTGCTGCTGTGTTTGGAGCAAGCATAGTGCACCAAGCGTGCTGCTGCGTGTGGTGTGTGGCTGCTGGGCACTGCTCGCAAGTGCTGCTAGGCAGCGAGGCAACAAGCCATAGCAGGCCAGCCACACCTGCCAGCACACATGCGCGCATGCGCGCATGCTAGCATGCAAGCATGATGCGTGCTAGTTCTAGTAGGCGAAGCAATGCCTTGCTAGGCAGGCTGCCTGCGCCCAAGCACAGCACGGCCGCAGCCATGATGCTAGGCACTTGGTTTTGTGTGGGCTGTT